TTTTTTTTACTAGTGTTGTTCTCTTGGACTTTTAGGAAGAGATATGTTTTGATCAAGATTCAAACTATGTATCAGCCCACCAGTAACGAGGCTCTAGGATACCGATATGTTAATGTTCATCTTGGGAATTTATGTTTGAGACCAAACAACAAGTTCTGCGAATGAATTAGAATTAAACTGATGTGAATCAATGAAATTGATTTAGTGTTGCAAGGTTTTGCTTCTAATGTTACATTAATGTCTGGTTTATTTGTTTGTTTGTAAAGCCATCACTTTGAGTAGTTTTATTCTATATAACAAAAGGCTTTTCTATTCAGAGAGCTCTTGCCTAAAGTCTCAGAATCACTTGTCTAAACTTAAACTTACTTTTGATTGACCTACATGGCTTCTGATGTGGTTCCCTTTTTCCAGCATTTACCATAGATTAATTAGGTTGGATCTTAATGCTGAATTTAATATTAAAATGTTCATTTGCCTTTTTATCTAGGGATTGAGAGTAACGTAGTTTCTATTCTCTGTATGTCCTGTACATGTGGCAGAATTGACAATAAAGTTGACTTGACTTGACTTGACTTGAATTCTCTTTCATGTGTCGGTTTATAGGGGCAAGGTTTCACTTGTGCACCAACAATGCTCTTACTATCCCAATCAACACGTAGGATAATACGGATGTTCTACATCACATCATGGTCCCTGGTTTTCTTCCTTGTTTTGAATTCTTAGTTAATGTTACTGGGTTTTTTATTCTAGTGTTTGAAGTTTTGAAGTTAGTTTTCATAGTTTTAGTTTCTCTTTATGCTGTACTGCTTTTGTTAACAGCTTAAAATAAAGCTCACTTTTCATTACACTCCGTCTGCATTTAGGTCCAGCTTACACATCAATCCTACATGTGGTCACATTATACAGATTTTATCAGAGTCATATAGATCAGAGACTAAGAGTTTCCTTCTATTTGCCATTGTATGTATTTAGTTCTGTCTCCTTTCTTTCCTGTCTTGCCCATATGTGGTCATACTGGTTTGCAGATTTAGGTCCAACACAAGCTCTGTCAAATTATTTGTATTTGTTTTGTACAAGATAAATATACACTAACGAAACTGGAGTAGAAGAATAGAAGTAGTACTTTTAAGTCATTCTAACTAGGGTTTGCTTTCAGCAGGACAACTGATGCTGCTGATCACAACTTTAAAAGCCTAATTTCTGACAGGACAGGTTCCCTCTAATCAAACCTGGAGGCAACAGATGTTCCCACAGAGATGCTCTGTCCTGTGAGACTGACAGAATTAATCATTTCAAGTGTGTCTTTAGTAATGTGTAACAGTCAATGAACCATGAACTTGTACATTCATCTGTACATCACACCATAACAAACACAACAACAATGTGTGACAAATTGATCTGTGTCTGCTTTCCTTGCCTGCTGCACAGAAAGCAGATTTCACATGGTCGCTGTGGTCAATATCACTGACCTGGATATCCAGCTGCTTTCCAACATCATCCATGTCAATACACAAATTCATTATACATGCCCACATACAAACCACTGGTCGCCTGTTGATCTATAATGCTATTTTAAAAAGGAAAAACATAGAATTGATGGAGTTACCATATGGTAATGATTTGGTTGGCATCCAGATGACTATCAGGCCTCTTTGGGATTTCGTTGAATACTGAGCTGGATCAGTGTAAAGTGTGTCACACTGCAACAGCTTGGGTGCACTGTTGGAAGTCAGGACAACTAGGGCAGACAATTGAAACTGGGCAAAGCCAGAGGACAGAAACCAATAGGACTGACTGAGCCTGACATGGTTCATTTATGCGTTTCCATTTCAGATGATGGTCCCAGACTTGAGTCTGTACAGAAAGGATTACCAGAGTCTGTGCAAATTAGAGGAAGGAAGGCAATTTACATGGCTACTTTACGGCGACAGCGTTCCAGAGCAACCTCAACTCGGCAAGATCGTGGTTCCTGCTCTTCTACGGCATCTTGCCCCGTCTTCTCTGGACCCTGCAGTGACCATGAAGAAGAGCCTCAGCTGCGTCGCCAATCCTCTCCTTTACTCAAAGGTTCCTTTTCCAGCCTGCAGGGGTCTGTTCCATGCATGCAAGGATCTTTGTCAAGTCTTGACGAACCTTTGTCTAACTTTCCGAACTCTTTACCCAATCTCAGAGGTTCAGTCTCTCGGATAAAGAGGAGATCACTTGGAAGCCTGGACAACTCCATCCCCAATCCTATTGAGAGAAGTAAAAGCCCTAGTCTACAGAGTGGCAACGGCAGCTCTAGTGATGATGATGGAAGTTGGGATACAAACAGCTGGAGCTCAGTGGCCACCTGCTTACTACGGACTCCTATTAAGCAAGACAGCAATGAACAGTCTTGCAACACTGATCAGGTCTCCTCTGCTGCTGAGGGTGAGGATGAAATCATTTACCAAAATCTTATCATTTCACGTCCTCCTGCTAAATCTGAAAGCAAAAGAGACCATGATCATGAGAATACTTGCACAACACAAAGGAAAGATGCCGGACTCCAAAATATGTCATCATCTTGCAAAAATGCTTCTTCGGTCTTATTCTATCAGTGTGGTGAGAAATCAGAGGACAGGCGCAAGTTCTCACAGTTTCTAAATGAAGTGACTTGCAGGGTCTTAAAATCAAATGGTGGTCCTCTTCAGCAACCGTTCATTTTACGACATAGCGATCTAACTCCTCCACCACCTCCACCAACTCCATCTCGCACACCACTACATTCTGCCTTAACAAATCCACCGCCACCATCGACATCAACAACAAACTTATGGTACAGTCCAACCAGTTCGAACCTTCAGCCGATTAAGGAGTGTGACTCCAAAGATATCACAAGTTCCATCCACCAGTGGAGCAAGACATTACCAAGCTGTAGGATCATAGAGCCGAGAGAAGTTCTAAGGAAAGTAAAAGAGGAGACTCACTCACACCCAGAGCCCAACCAAGAGCTATGTCCAAAGATCCAAGCACAAGCCCCTACTGGGAGACATTATCTAGAGACAGACATTGACAGAGTGAGGCAGCTGGATGAACTGGTAGCTAATGGCACCCTTGGGAAAGAGAAAACTGAAAAAGTGCTTGAAGAAGGTATAGGGAGAGTAAAGAAAAGGGAAAACGGGACTCTGTGGGAGAGAAATGGAGGCTTGGGGATGGAAAAAGAGAAGGAGAGGGAAAAGAGAAAAGAAGCCTCCTGGGAGAGAGACAGAGGAGGTGAGAAAAGGAGGGAAAGGGACAGAAAAAGAGAAAAGCTTTGCTGGGAAAAAGTTAGATGGTCAGAAAGAGGGCGGGAGAAGGAGAAAAAGGTTATTCCTACCTGTTATGAGTCACCTTATCCTCATCTGGCTGCCAGTGGACGGAACAACCCCTGCCCTGTCTTCAGCTGGCCGGAGCAGCAGTTTCCGAGAATGTCCTACAGGTCTACCTCATTGCCCAGACCTCTAAATGTTGCTGTGAGTACATTACACTACACTTAATTGTTCGTTTGGTGGTTTGGTTTAAAAATACATATACATAGAACAGAGATCATCTAATGTATGTGTTGGAGTTGAAGTTATTTCCTGAATTAATCAGATTTGATTTCCAACATGTGAGGTGTCCCTCAACACCTCCGTTGGCCATGTCTGCAAACCACCATCTGCTTTTATTAATATGCAATAATGTTCCAGCTGCTGTTTTTGATATGGTATTGAACAGGGTTGCTTTAGCCAAGAATTTATCACCATTTCAAGAGGTATAGTCCAGCAGGAAGTAATTAGCACTATGTCAGTTATGAATAACTACTTCCTGGAAAGCCTGCGTTCTTTAAACTGTGAACAGCTTATGTGAAAACTGCAGAGGATTTTTGCAGTTTGATTTTCAACACAGCGGATCAAAATGAGGACTGCAGATACACATCCCACATACTTTGAATTTTATTACATGATAGACAGTTATTACATCATGCACAGTAACTTTATTTTGCACTATTGTGAAGATAATTGTCGTGATCATTCTAAGAAATGATCAGTTTGTGTCATGTTTTCTCCTGCAGTAAGAGTAAATGCAGATTGCTGGAAATGAGAAGCCAAATGAATAAGATTACACAAGCCTCTGATGAATTCACTCAGTCTTTATTCAAGGCTTTGATATAGTGTATTGCATCACATTCGTCTTTGTTAGCTGAATATTACTCTTCTCAGACTTATTATGTAGATGTGACTCATTTATGTTTGCTGTTTTGCTTAATTGCATCTGACACATGACCCACTTGCCATACAAAACCAAATCTGAAAACATGATTATTCATTAGCGAGAATCTGAATTATTCTGTGCTGTATATGCACAGGAATGCATGCACATAACATACAGATAGCTCCATAAGTATTTGGACATTTGCTATCCATCTTTTGAATGTTTGTAGGACAAAAAGATGTCGATGCATTTAAATGAAAAGTAAAATAGACCACAGCAATGCTTTGAGAATACCCTGGCCATTGAAAATGTGCATTTACCAAGAAAAGATTTGTTCAAACTGCAGCTCATGTTATGATTTTCAGTCTATGATTGAAAAGAATAGGTATAAGCATTTGAACAATTACACAAATTCTGTAGTTTTTGCCTCCATACTCCATCACAGGGGATTTAAAGTCACTGGGGATATGAAGAGCTTTATCAAAAGTATTGCATCAACAGTCTAGGAGTTACAGTGCCCTATTTTCAGAGGCTTAAAAATAATTGGTCAGTTGAGAAGGTAGTTTCGAGGCCTATTTTCTTGTTGTTCTATGACACATTAAGCAGACAAAATATCTGGAATCAATTTCAAGTGTTGAACTTGTATTTTCCAGCTTTTTGCTGAAATTCTCAAAATGAGGTCCAAAAAGTTGATGCAAGTGAAGGAGGCCATCATTAGACTGGGGAAAAAATAAAATAAAATAAACCTATCAGAAAGATAGCAAAACCGTCAGGTGTAATCAAACAAACAGCATTTGGCAACACCAAAAGACCAGAGAGACCACAGAAAACAACTAAAGTGGATGAAAAAGTCCAGTCAAGAACATTTTAAACAGATAGGCATATCTGTTATGGTATAAGCTAAACATGTAGTATACCTCCTTCTTTGCTATACTATGGGTTTTACTTGGATGTTTCTACTTTTTCTGGTCCCTAAAGTCTACATGAAGAGATGTCTTCATGAATGGAAGGTGCAAACCACTGGTTACACACAAGAGCAAGCAGGTCAGATTACACTTTGGCAGAAAAAACATCTGATAGGGCCTCAACAGTGCTAAAAAAAATAATTTGGAACAGATGAAACCAAGATGAAACTGCACTAAAATGATGAGAAGAAAAAAGAAGGGAAAAGAAGAGAAACCGCTTGTGATTCGAAGCATACACCATCATCTGCGATAGCATGGGCATGTAGGTCAGTGGAGCCAGGTCACTAGTGTTTATTGATGATGTGATTGCTGGTAGAGGTAGCAGGATGTATTCTGAAGTGTTGGGCTGTGCTCTGCTTAGATTTAGCCAAATGCCATAAAACTGATCAGACAGACCTTCGCACTACAAATGGATAATAACCCAAAGCATACTGCAAAAGCAACCCAAAAGTATCTCAAGGTAAAGAATTGCGATATTCTTCAATGGCCAAGTCATTCAGCTGATCTCAGAACATCCTTTTCACTTACTGAAGACCGAATTGAATGCATAGTGACCTACGAAAAAGCAGCAGCTAAAGATGGCTGCAGAAATTCTAGGTGGGAAATACAGTTGGTGCACAAAAGCAAAATTACCAAAAGTGTGTAACTGTTCAAATACTAATGGACCCAACTGTATTCTTGCTCATGCTACTTTCAAATATAGACTCAAAATCACAGCGCGACCTACTAGATGAGCATTTTCAGTGGCCGGGATGTTCTCAGAGTGCTGTGCTGTGTCTGTATTACTTTTTATTTAAATGCATTAGCATCTTCCTGCCCTCCAAACATTCAACAGAGGGCTAGCAATGGGAACTACTGGTCCCTTTGGAATATCATATTAAGAAATACATCTGCCTTACTTGCTGCTTTTTTACTAAAATAGAGAAAGACTGCTTGAATCTAAAACAAATTTCACTATCCTGCTTGTGTGCCAGTGTGAAGGTAGCTGATACATAAAATATTTAAACACTTTCCCTCCTTCTGTTTTTGTTGTGCTTTTGAGCCTCAGGCATAGTAATGCCATCCAGTAATATGGCCTCTCACAACCTGATGCACTGTTGTACTAATACCCTGCTGCTAAATGGGTGAACTTTGACCAATGTCCAACAGTAAGGAGGAAGATAAATGTTTGGGATGTCGCTTTCTGACTAGAACTTATTCACTGGATGTCAGCTCCCTAGCAACTGTTCAGCCGATGAGTGGGTGTATGTATTAAAAGGAATACATTTGGCAAAAAGAGAGAAAACTGCTGTATGGCAGCTTTTCACAGTTAGTGGCTTGCAAGTGTAGAGATGAGGTGGGCGCTTCTTTCAAGGTAGGAGAAAAAGAAGGAGAAGTGTCCTCTGCAGTCTGGAGGGCAAGGCTGAAATACATCTATTACAAAATATGTGATGAGCTGAGATAAACTGAGAACTTGTAATTGAGACATAGTGAAGTTATAAATTATCAGTCAGCAGCGGAATGCATCCTAACAATACAAGAGTATACCTGTGAAATACAGCAGTAATTAAACATGAAGCAAGTATGTGGGCTAATGTGTGTGTTTCGATAAAATCATCACCTAGTAAATGCAAGCATGGCTTCCTGTGAATGACCTTCATATTGGGATGAGAATAGCAGATTTACTGTTAAATGCTGTAGGAGCAGTGATTCAAAAAAGTGTCATGAAAATAATGCTGAAAAATATCCACAATGGTATCAGAAATAATTCTAAGAAGAAATCCTAACGATTACAAAGTTTTTAAAAATACTAATTAATATTTTTTATGATAAAAGTTTTATCAAATGATAATGTGAAATGCAAGATGGCTTCAAATCCAGGGGGCCTTCTGTGTGGAGTCTGCATATTCCCCCTGTGTCTGGGTACTCAGACATCCTCCTACAGTCCAAAGACATGCATGGAGTTGGGCTAACTGGTAATTCTAAATTGCCCATAGGTGTAAATGTAAGAGTGAATGCTTGTTTGCCTCTGTGTGCGAGCCCTGGCGGCATGTCCAGTGTGTACCTGTCTCTCACACTATGACAACTGGGATAAGCTCCAGACCCCCCATGACGATGAATTGGAAATCAGAAGAAAATGGATATTTAGCTGCCCAAGCTATGTACAAAATAAATGACAAATAGTGTTTGTCAAGTCAGTACTTTTTAATATATGTCTGCTTATTGTCTCCATTCTATCATCATTTAGCAAAAGCGAGTTAAAGGTTAATATTTTACCTTTTTCACTGAATGAAAGTAAATCCATGTGAGCTGATTATCATTCAGTGATGCCTTGCAGGAATGCCAATTCTATCCTCCTCCCCCTCTCTCTAGGCTTGCCCTCTCCACACAGAGGGATGCTGGGATGGAAGGATGGACGTGGAGGTGGGGCGGTGGGGGGATTACTGAGCGTTGTCTCATTCAGTAGCTGTATGAGTCATCCTGCTGTATCATTCGCACTGTTTGTAACACCCACGCAACTGCGTGAAGCCCGGCTTCCACACACTCACCAATACGCACTGCAATCTTGTAGTCCGTATGTTGAAGCTCTGCACCTGTGACATTTAATATACCTTGCTAAATCCTCACCAATAAGACTGACGTGAGTTGCGTGCAACATGCGAACACACAAACACCTGAAAACATACCAACTTACTACAGCACCAAAACAATGCGTGACTGTGTGGCCACTGTAAAGTTCATGAAGAAGATGGTGAAATTGGGAGTTTTTTATGGCCATGCATGTAACTTGTAACTGCATTAAAATAATTTAATGTAAATTCTTGTGAAATCCTTATTATTTACAATCTATATGCAAGCTATGACCAGTCTATTTATTTGCATTCATGTGTAGATATGACAGAGCAGCACTGAGTATGCTCCGAGTACTGAGTATAATATAGCTAGCCATCAGTTAGCTTATGTTATAAACACTAAACAGCGTTAGCAACCTGAAGCGACTAACTTCCACATAACAAAGTGTGGTCCTTTTTTTCTACAGATTGTTGCATATCGAAATAAAATACGAAGCGCTCAGCAGTGAGCTTCATGTTAGGCAGATTTTTGTGTTCCCTAAGGTAGCAATATCTTCATTCTTCAAAACAAGAGAGTGGTATCAAGAAAGAAATCTAAGAAGAGTACTTCATTCTTTTAGACTTAATTTGCAACATTTTTAGTTTTGTTTACCAGTTTACTTTTTTGTACTTTCCTCCTAACAACTACAGTCTGCAAGTCTGCCTCTCACCCTCGGGCACTTTCTCTCCCTTTCTGCAGCACACAGCATTTTTCTTTTGCACTGTTAATCTGTCATTTCTTGCTCTGCCTCTCTCCTCCTTTCACTTAATGTTCTCAGAACTGATACAGTGTGTGAGAGTGAGGAAATAATGGATATATTTGTTTGCCGAGACACAGCCACTCTGAGAGCTCGTTAAACACCAGATAAGAGGTATTCCACGGCGTGCAGTGGCAGCGGCGGCGCCAGATAAATCTGCTTGATAAATATATCTAATCATTTCACCCGCTTCTCTTCCTACCAGGAATCTGATGGCGAGACGCAGCATAACACAAGGTTGGCTACTTTCACTTTTACTTCCTCTCCTCCCAGCAGTTACACCTTCAGCCACACCTCTCCTCTCTCTCTCTCTCTCTTCCCTCTTCTCTCCATCACTCCCCTAACCCCTCCTCTTCCAGAACACCTCCTCCTGCTCCATTCAGTTCACAGCTCCCTCTCTCATTTTCTCTCTCTCCCCTCTCTCTCTCTCTCTGCCTACCAGCCCTGTCTCCAGTCAGAATTAGGGGAGTCTTTTTCTAAATGCATGCAGCTCTGAGGGGATGCACAGGCACATGAATGTACTGATTTTATCTGCTGAAAATGAGGCAAATGGCATATAAACGGTAAGGCAAGGAAGCGAAGAAGTGCATGCCTGGTTTCATTAGTGGCGCTGAGATAAGTGTGTGTAGTTGCTTTGCTGCACTTGTGAAAGTAATGATTGTTGTGAGGGCTCTTCTGTAGCTGTTGTGCCTCTCTGTTCATGTGTTGCATATTCTGAGCACTTTGAGAAAGCGCTGGGTAGACTGCTCTGCATTCAACAGTACACTATGTTTGGAGAATGTGACTACATGTTGTGCAGCATACTGGAGTAAAATCTGAAGGTTTTTTTTACTGGAAGTCACTGCATGTAAGTTAGGTTGGTCATGATCGTTTGGTCAAGTTGAACTAAACTGGTGTAACTGGTGTTGTTGCTTAGGGGTTATTATTGTCGTCTGGATTTTAGTGGTATGAGAATAATGAGTTACCACGTTTTTTTTCACAGCCCTCAATTTACTCCCATAATATTTCACTGAGCAAGAAGATACCACAAAGAGGCTATTACAGCCCAACGAGCCCATCATGAGAAAGAAAGTTGCTCTCATTAAGCCAAACTCCTCACCTTGCATTTGATGAGTTGAGAAAAGACATGATAGATGGGTGTGATCACTTTGAATTTCAGTGAGGAAATCCTAAAGCCTTTGGTGATGCATTGCCTTTAGGTGGCTCTATAATCAGCATGTCAGCATAACATGATCATAACATCTAGAAGTTAATTGCTTTCACCTCCGGTCTTAACCTCCAGCTAGTGAGGAACCATTGATTTTGGAGATGATCCCTGCTTCCTGTTACATAATTAAAGCAAACAGAACCTTGGATAAAGTGCAGTCTAGAGGGAAACTTTGAGTCTTTGAAGTGAGTTTCAAACCTCCTGTACAGTGGAGAGAGCTTTAATTAATCTGGTGGAAAAACAAAGGAAGAGTGAACAATGTGCGCTAACCTTCTGCCACTTTAAGCTATATTAACTCGTAATTAGTTGGAAGATGGCACTTTGTATTTGCAAATGGTATGGCTGTGGAATGGTGCTGCACATTTATCCAATATTCCTTGTCAATATGCAATCTATGTCAATCACAGGGATGTAATTTACACACTTTTGCATATCCTAAATGTCTTTTTTGATTGTGTTTAATACTGAATGTGTACGCGCCATTTAACTTCAATATTTACTGTAAAATATTCTCAAAATGCAGTAACACAGTATGCTGGCAGACAAATAAATGAATAATTAACCAGGCAGCTAGGTATCTTTCTACTTGGAAAACCGAGGAAACAAGTCTGGTTTCCCCTTTTCCAAGGATCCTATAAAATATCATAACATGCTTCTTTCAATCCTTTTCACTGTATTTAACTAACTGTAGTTTTTGCACACAGATACCCTGTTGGTGCGTTGGGACCAAAATTATTTCATTGCATTTCTTTTATTCATTTATTATTATTATTATTATTATTATTATTATTATTATTATTATTATTATTATTATTATTATTATTATTATTATTTATTAATCATCTCAGTTGGATTTAGAAAAAAGATCATTCAATAGCTGATACTTTTTTTCAGAGCTCAGTTATCTTGGTTGCCAGGATGGTGTGTCAGGCATAAAATATCCTTGCTAATATACTTACCACTAATTTTCAAAGTCGTGCTTACTGTGACATAAATGTGCGAATTTGTGTCCAGGAAAAATGAACATTATTAGATTTTCTTTGCTATTTTACCATGTGATAGGCTGGTATGACCAGAGATGGGGAAATGTCCCTTGTCCATGCAAGCAAATTATGCTAATCATAATATATATGGCCAGAGGTTTCAAATAATAATGTATGGATATGTGCAGGTAATCCCTGTTAATCAAAACCTCAGGCTTCAGACTGCTCCAAGAGCTCAGTTTCCAACTATTGATTTTCTACTCTTGGCTCTGAATACTGTGAAAAAGAAATCTTGAATATGGTCATCTCAGGCTGATGCTCTGACTGTGAAAAAATAGTCCCATACACGTGCTGTTGAAAATTTCCAATAGTGAGGGTCAGTCAGTAGAAAGTTAAATGGAGAGAATATAAAAATGATTGGTTCAAATATAGTATGAACTAATGGGCTCGGTGTAAGATAAATATGTTTTGGTTTTTAACTGCCAATCATGCAAAGCTACTCTAAATCTTGTGCAGTACAAGAATAAAAATATGCAATTGGAAATTAACATAATAGGTCCACTTTAAATGAGTCCAAAGATGAAAATTAATAAGTGCTGAAGTCTGTCCAAACAAACCATCAGCTCCACCAACCCCTGCAGCACAACGAGCTCTGCTCCTCCTCAGTTTTCTGAAATGATTCTTGTCATAGATAATAAGCCAAAGCTTACCACCAAAGGCTGTTTTGCACTTCACATGTAAGCTGAGTTAAATCAATGCCAATAAAATTGAGATCATTGTGCACCGACAAACCCTTTCAAAGTCACGGTCTCCATATGAAAGAGCGCACTAAGAGACTACTAGCCAAATAAAAGCCAGTTTTTATGAGATTTAAAGTAAATAATTGAAACCTTGTGAAAAGTCTTGTATTTTGCATGTTGTGTACGTGCATAGTAGATTGCAAGCACTGCTATTATCTGATTTTCAGATTTTTCATAAGCTCTTTACAAAGTGATTTGAAGACGAAATCTGAATTTTCCTACTTTCTGACTGTAATACAAATATCACTATCAAACTAAAATTGAAAGCTGAAAATAGTGAGCACATTGCATACTGTAAAAGAGACTGTGTGCCAGTTAAGTCAAAAAATAACTGCTTACTGACAGATGAAAAGATTACAGCTTTATAACTTTTTTTCTCTCTTTTCTGGTCTCAAAATAACAAAATTCTTGTCCCCGTTCAATCTTTCAAAGAATTCAGTGAGTTTTCATTAATCCGAGGGTAACGGAAGTATCTTTGTGAACTTAAAATTGCAGTCAGAGCTTGCTGAGATTGAATAAAGCAAGGACAGGAAAGGGATTGAAAAGCAGCCAAAGAATAGAGGGCAACTGCTGCATTAGTCCAACTCCTACTTTAGTTTTCCACTAATGTTTCATCTTCCCTTTATCAGATGCATCAATCCGTGATCCACTTTTCCACCACCATCAGCTTCTTAACGACATCAATCGCCTGCTCTGCTTCACTTGGACTTTTAGGAATATGCCTGAAGAAGCTTTGTTTGTTCATCTCTCATCTCTTCCTAAGCACGTAGCTTCCAAAAGCAGATGCTATACAAAGTCTCCCTTCAGGTTAGCCTGGAGCAGTTTACCACCTCTCTGCTCTCTCATTCTTCTGTCTAATTATTTCCAAGACCATGAGCTCTGGGAATCATGCAGGAGCCATTTGTTAGGGTCCACTACTGTAGCGTGTGGAGCTGGGTGATGTGGAATCTACTTTGGAGCGTTCTCAAGGGTTTGGCTCTGTCTTCGAGCGTGCACATGTACCCATATTCTTTGATTTAGACCGCTGTGCATCACATGTCTAACTTTTAAGATGCCTTCTCCCTTTGACGTCCCACCTCACCACCCTCATCGCTCCCTGGACATCTGGAGATATGCCTGTCTGCTGCTGGCGTTTATACAGCTCCGTAAAAGCCAACAGGACAGGGTCAGCTGAGCAACATAAGCCTCTGGTGCACATACACATAGAGTAGACCTCAAGTCTCTCAAAAGCACAAAGTCCATGTACTGTATGTCAAAAGAGTGGGATGCGTGGCATTTTAATGTGACCGATAAAATACAGAAGATAAAGGTCTTCAACTCAGAGGTTTTAACTCAAGCTTACTGCCCCTACTTGCTTGTGTGTTCTCATTAATGCATTAGCTTCAGTCCTGATCTTTCTGGTTCAGTGTCGTGGTTCTGACGCTCTTGCTGTATAAACAATAATTTGTTGACACGCTCTTGGCAGTGTGTTGAGCTTAATAATAGAAGCGGCTTTTTCCTCTTAAAAGAGGCTTTTTGTCAAACAAATATACAGCTCTGTTTCTAGCTACATGTTGAACAAACTGCGCACCTATTGCACCCATTACACCTCAGTAAATATTTCATTGCACCCTGGAGGGCTGTGCACATGCTGCTGTATGTTCGGCCCACATGCGCATAATCACTCTGAGCCCCGGTGGCCTCCTGTGGTTTAATGCATGGTGGATTTCCAGATGTCCAATCTGGACGGTGATGATAAAAAAGAAAAGGCTTTAAGGTGAAAAGAACAGGATTCTTTTTTCAAAGACAAAATGTGGCCATTGTAGAGCTTTGTGGTCTGCAGCGCTGAGCTGTCCTACAGTACGACGTTACGCTGTACTCTACAGAAGGGAATGTAGGGCTTTAGTCAGAGATTAGAGTTAAACCTATAAAGTCAGTTATCACTGGATTTATATCAGTAAGTTTGGTAAATCTGATGTCTGTGAAAAAAGAAATTAATAGTTTCCTCTATTAACTATAATATTAGGGATTTATATAGTTATAAATGTCAACAAAAAACCTATATATGGGCTCTTAAAGTGGTTATAATTAATATTGCATTAACAATGTATGACATGACTCATATGTCAATGAACCTGCAGAGAATTGTGCACTTCCTCTGTGCAGTTTTACTATGTGCTTAAGTTTATCGTTTCCATTTTATGGCTTGTTTGTAGTTACAGCAGACAGTTTTTTAAATGCATTAAGATGAGATAAAATAACACATAA